CAGTCTTAAGCTCTTTCTGTTGCTATAGTATTAGCTTCTGTACTTTTTTTTTTTAAGATTTGTTTTATTTATTTATGCATACAAGATCTAGGATGTAGGCCAGAGGTGCAGAGGGTGAGAGGATTCACCAGAGACAGTGGGAAAAAGAACAGGCAGATCTACTGAAATACACTGCCAAGGAAAGCAGTGGATGAGACAGGAGAGGTCTGCTGTGCCATGTATGGGTTCCCTGGCTGGAGATTTAACTCAGGCTGGGGATTGAAGTCAGGCTGTCTCAGTGATAGCACTGAGACTTAATTCCTATGCCACCAGGGGGGGCCCTAGCTTCTCTACTTTTTTTAATATGGCTCATAGAAATCAGTTTTGAGTAGTGGGTTATCTATCCTGTAAGGTTAAATAGGTTTCGCTAAGCAGAGATTACATTTATTATGCAACCTTAGAGAACTTGTCCCAGAAAAGCAAGTGGTCCAGGTGTTAGAATCTGGAGTTTCTATAAGTAACACAGGGTGGTCCCCAGGAAAGGGGATGTTCCAGGTTCCTTGCCCCACCCAAGGGAGGGTGGAACTGAACAGGGAAAAGAAGCTGGAGAGGAGTGGAGAAGGAAGAAGGATAGGAAGGAAGAAAGATAGAGAGCAAGAAGGAGACCTGAAGGAGGCACATGGAGCAGAGAGACATGTGAAAAAGCTGCACTTGCTTTTTGGTCTTGGACTGGCTGAAATAAATGTGGGTGTGAGAGACCTGTGGGGAGGTTAACAATGGCAGCTTTTATCTTGATTTTGATTTTGGATACTATTTGTATTATCTTGATTTCTGTATTGCACATTATTTGTATTAAGGTTTCTTTCCATTAAGGGTCTTATGCACTAGAGTATGTTTTGTCTTGATGTAGAGGATGGCAGACCCTATTTAGAATAGTCAGATTTGAGGGTTCTGGGGTACCCTTCTCTCTGCCCTGTAACATGTAGTTTGAGAACTACATCTCCAACCTGGCATTATACCATACTGCTGAAGTTGCTTAAGAATTTGCATCATCTTTACACAAAAGCAGTGATTTACTGGAAAATAGCAGTAGTAGATATCATAAACTGAGTTGCAATTGGCTTGTTGAAAATTTTTAGTAAAGGCAGAGCCGAGGCAAGGAACATATTTTTTTTTATGCATACAAGAACTGGGGTACAGGCCAGAGAGAGTGGAGAGCAGAACAGGTGGATCTACTGAAATACATTGCTGAGGGGAGCAACGGAGAGACAGGAGAAGTCTGCTGCACCATGTGGGTAGCTACCTGGTTGGCCAGAGATCAAACTGTTGCTGCAGTGGCTGCTATAGCTTGATAGCACTGTCTTTAACCCCTGTACCACCAGGGAGGCCCGGATCATATATTTTATATGATGTGAGCTCTGCAAATAACAGTCTTCCCTAAGGTACACCTCTGTCTGATTATGAATGGATATTTTTCAACTTCAGATGAACTAACACACTCAGGAAATAGCAATATTAGCAGCAATAATAGGAGTGTGTGGGTTTGCATACTTTTGTCTTTGTGGTAGTTTCCTTAAACTTATTGATAGATATATCTCAAGTTGTGTGTGAAGTTTATTCATTTAAGTAGCATTAATCTTTCAATAAACTGTGTTCTCCACTGATTTAAAAAATAATCTAGTGCTTTCCATTAAAAGGCTGCATTTGCATGGAAAAAAATCCAAATTTGCATTGGAAGAGTTTAAAATATAGAAAAGCATGACAGGTCATGAGGAAAATAATGGGCTGGGTTGATCCATAACTTCCCAAAGGCATAGAAATCAACACTTTCACCTTTTCAAAGAATAAAAGGGAAAGGAAAAAATATATTCAGCAATGTTCTGGCTTTTGCCATTACTTGTAACTTAACCTAGTTGCATATTGAAGAGCAGTTATAGTCCTTCAAGATTTATGTAACACTTATAGCACTATGATTTATTTACAAAGAGTTTTTTGATGTGCTCTTTGAAATAGCCCGGTAAAGTCATATCTCTTCTATCCAAATGATGTTTGGTTTGAATTCCAAATTCAGTCCTGGTAGGGAATGTGGGCAGTCAAGTGCATTTGCTTTGGAAATGAGCCATGAGAGCATTCCAGACCTTTCAGACCCAAGTCAGTTGCTCTCTCTCCTCGGGGGCCCAATAAGGTCGCCTGCAGTTGCCTTCTGTAACAACTTAGTTCGTTCCCTGAAGGCAATTGCAAGGAGCACTCATTTTCCCTTCTAGCATCTGATCCCTATTCTGTCATATGTGACTCAGTTTTGCTCCGGAGAATTATCCCTCCTCCCCCCACCCCTCACTCGATATGGACTCTACAGATCCCCTGCCATCTCCTAGTCAAGGGGGGAAAACTGGGACCTTTATGTAGGCCATTAGAGGTTTTTCCCTGGGATTTTCAGTCTTAAACTGATCCTGATAGAAGTAATTGACTCATTTAGTGACTGCACTTTGAAGAGATCTTCCACTGATTCTTGTTTCTGAGGTCACTAGACTGCTCTGAAGACTGTCCTTAATGCATGCTTGCTCAGTTGGATTTGCAAGTTGCTGCAACAATGTCCTTCTTTCCCTCCTCCTGCCTGCCTCTCTCTCTTCTTTCCCATTTTGATTCTCTTGCTTAAATTCACTACTTTCCCCCTCCTGGTTTCCAACAAAGATACCCAACTGTTGAGTTATGCCTTTCAGCCTGTTAAACTTTCTCTCTGGAATACCTGTTCCTATGGTCAATCTGTAACAGGGTGGTCCCCAGGAAAGGGAGAAGTTCCAGGTTTCCTGCCCCACCCAAAGGAGGGTGGCGCTGAGCAGGGAGAGAAGAAGCTGCAGAGGAGACTGAGGAGGAAAGAAAGCAGTTTGGAGAGCCAGGAGACCTGGAGGAGGCACATGGAGTTGAGAGACAAGTGAAGAAACTACACTTGACTTTTGGTTGTGGACTGGTTGAAACAGATGTGGGTGAGAGACCCATGGGGAGGTGACAATGGTGGTTTTTGTCTTGATTTTAATTTTGCTCTTTTCCTTCCAGACTTGCCTGGTTGTTTCTGATCCTTTTCTGTGGGTCCCCACTGAAAGGTGCTTTAGACTTGTGGTCGGCTTTGGTGCCTTGTTCTGGGCCAATCCTGCTTGGGTGGACTTTTACCTACGAGGGGACGGGTAACTTTGGGTACTCGATTTAGAAACTATATTCTTTGCCTTCCTTTCCTGTATTGTTTCCTAAGTGTATTGAAGTTCCTTCCCATTAAAATCTCCTATGTTTTGTGTTGGTGCAGTGGATGGCATAACATATTTAGAGCAAGCAGGTTTGTGGGGTCCGGGGTGCCCCTCTTCCTGACCTGTAACAAATTTTCACCATTTACTCGACTCTCCTCACAATCTATAATTGATGCTTGGTATATCACCTGAGGACTACTAGGTGGAGATTCTTCAGGAGACTACAATAAGGACAGTGAGAAACAAATAAGGATTTTAGTAACAAATAGTTAATATGTTAGGAATCAGAATCCTTTTCCCCTAAGTTGGAGATACTTTACACATCTGAACCTTTGATAAACCAAAATTGGATACTATTTCATCAGCAATTCAAATAAAGATGTTCATCATCAACTATCAGCAATTCAAATAAGCACCTGGCACTCTGCCAAAGAACTCTGCACATCCTACCATTATCAGGAATGGTTCCTGCTTGTTTCTCTTTAGTAAATTGCACTGGACAGACTTAACGGAGGATTTCCATTTAGGGATATCCTCGAAACTACCTTGGTGAAAGCCAACTGTGCCCAACCAAAGCTTTCTCTTTCCCTACCTTTCTGTATGTACATTTTTGTCCTCCAAAGTCTTCCAGTTCCCAATTCCATATTCATTTTGCTTAACTTCTAGATTTCTGTTTTAGAATACAAAAGGCTGATCTGAGTCTCTTTATCCAGAAACACTGTCTTTTATTAATTTCTGAGTTTACTTTTATTTCCCCACCAGCTTCTTTGACAATCCAATATGCTTTCCATTGGCACTAGTACATTACAAAACATCTCCATCACCTTGCAAATGATGAATATATAAATCATCATTATAAATCCTAAAGTAATGTTATTTAAATTATGGATCCAACTCATTTGTAAGCTGTGAGATCGATTTAGTAGGTTGTGTCCAGGATTAAAAAAATAAAATGGAGAACAGAGCACCTCTGATATTTTACTCATAATAAGGGTAAAAATATTTTTAAATAAAATTTGTCTCTGTGGTGTGCAATTCATAACTGGTCTCTTTGGACTAGGTCAGGATCCATTTGGGATTCCTGTTTGACATGATCTCTTCTGGTCATTGAGAAGCACTGCATCAATGTCACATCCTCCACCTAGCCCTAAGGCTCATTGGAGGATGCCCTATGTTATCTACAATATGGTATAACACTATGGACTTTGTCCTCTAAGCTCAGTAATGAATTTGCCACTGTGGGGAATTGAGAGGATTTAGCAAATCCTCTTTCAAGACAAAAATCTGGCTAGCAAAGCTATTGTCTCATTGTCTAGGGTTATTTTGCATATCAGAAACTGAATCTCACAATGTTACCTTGTTCTTTGTATTCTTTCTGTTCCTTATCTCTTAGACATACCCCTCCACTCACATTAGGATTCTCTGGTTTAATGGAATGAAGGTTAAGTACTCAGGAAAGTAAAAGAGAAAAGTACCTTAATTTAAGAACATTTGCAGACTACACATATGAATGCTTCATGGATGCCAAGCTCATATTAAGTATTGCCATGCCTCTCAGAATAAAAATTTTAACTTTGTGCCCTTAAATACCTGTTCAGCTTACGATACAACATGCTGCATCCTTTTCTCTTTGGGCTATCAATATCTCTACCTTTCTAAGCTCCCAATGCCTTTTTGTGTTCCTAATGGGCTTTCTTTCTTGGGTTAACGTCCCTCTCCCTTGGTAACAGTGTGCTATCCATACAATAGGGAGGTTCTAAGTTCTCTGCCCCACCCAAGGAAGGGTGGAGCTGAGTGGCAATGAGAAGAAGGAAAGAAAGGAAAGGAAGATTGAAGAGAAGTCTTGGAGGAAGCACATGGAGCAGAGGTACATGAAAGAAGAAGCCATGCTTGTTTTGGACTTGTACCAGGGACTTGGGGAACATGGAAGGAGACAAATGGAAGAGACATGGGAGAGAGACCTGTGAGAAGGCTGACAACAGCAGCCTTTCTCTTGACTTGTATTTTGATTTTACTATTTTCCTTCCAGTCTTGCCGGGCTCTTTCTGCCCTTTTCTTATAGGTGCCCACCAGAAGGTGACTTAGATTTGTGGAAAGCTTTCAGGCCTCAGTGGCTTTGCTTTGGTCCAACCCTGTTTGGCTGGGTATTTACCCACGAGGGGATGGGTAAATTGGAGGTTTCGTTAGGGTAACTGTCTTAACTATATGCTTTTGTTATAGGGCAGCCCCGATACAAAATGGGGTGCCTGACTGTGGGTCCTCACCCGCAGGCTTAAAAGGACGTATCAGTACTCTACTGCAGGCACACGCGAAAGGTTAATAAAAGGTTTATTTACAAGGGAAGGGCAAATGAGGAAATGTACAACTCAGGGAGAAAAGTGGGAGAGGGAGACAAAGTTTTAAATGTGTCCTACCCAATCCGCCGATCAGGAATCCCAAATGGCACTCTGAGAGCTGGCCGCAAGCCAGGAGCCATGAAGCCAGGAGGCAAGGAGAGAGCAACCCCCAAGTCCCACGTGTTTGGTTTTTATACCACACCTGGCTGCTTAACTCCACCCTCAGGTCCCTGTCACTTTCCCTTTGGTGGTGACAGGATTTGTTTTTCCCAATGTCCTGATGGCTTTGGTCTGGAGTCGGGGTAGAGTCCACAAAGCCTGTATGGGATTAGCTCAGAACATCCTTTCCCTCTAACACTTTCTCCTCTCTTTTCTCTATTGACACTGTATTAAAGTTCTGTATTGAAGGTTTTGCACACTGAATATGTTTTGTCTTTATGCGGTAGATGGCAGAACCCATTTAAAGCAGGCAGGTTTGGGTGTCCCAGTGAAAGGGAACTGGTAAGCAAATAAATTTCTCCAGCTCCCTGCTAAAGGGTCATCAGTAAATAATCTAATGCAATTGTAAATAACAAGTTTACTTACTTAATAAATCTTTCCTTAGAGAGCTGTCCATCTAAGTTTTAGCTTATCTAAATGAGGTTACATTTTAACAAGGCTGGACATCCGGCCAAGCTGATTTATTTCTCAAAGGCCATCCCCGAATGTCTGCATCTTTCCCCCTTTGTCTTGGAGTTTTACAGCAAATAGTTGTGCTTGCTAACGGATGTTATAAATGTAAGATGGTTGTGTATAAAAGAAACCCTTTTTTTCTAGACAGGTGCTCAAATCTTATGGGCTATTCAGGACTGAGACCTCATGCATGAGTAATAAAGCTTCTCCTGACCTCACCATTCCTGAAGTAGTGCTTATTCTTCCCCTGCCTGGGTAAAAGGCTAGAATTTATTTCTGAAACACCAGGGGTTTCCTTATTCTGCCCGCTAACAACTTTACTGCCCTTTTTGGACTTTCCTCATCTCTAAGAAATTGTTCTAAGTCCCTTTCCTCTGTGCCTTGATCTTTGTTTTCAAGGGCCCCCCTAATTAGTGGAACGAATGAATCAATCCAAAACTCCCCTTAACTTTCTTGCTTTGTTGATTTATCTTTGTTGTTCCTCAATTAATCAACCCTTATCTAAATCAATCTCCCTAAATTCATCTGACAACCTTTCCGCCTACCTCAGCCTACTTGTTGAGGCCCCTCCCTCTTACTTCAAAACACTGAAAAAGCTGAGAACTTTTTTTTTTAAAGATTTATTTACTTATTTATTTATACAAGAACCGGTGTACAGGCCAGATTTGCGGGAGGGTGAGAGGATTCACCAGAGACAGAGCGGGGAACAGAACAGGCAAACTGAGGAAATACACTGATGAGGGGAGCAGTGGGCGAGACAGGAGAGGTCTGCTGCACCATGTGGGACCCTTGCCAGCTGGCCGGGATCGAACTGGCGCTGCAGAGGCTGCGAAAAGCTTCACAGCGCTGCACTGAACCACCTGCGCCACCAGGGGAGGCCCAGAACTTCTTGTTTTTTCTGCCCCTCTTCTACTAAAGATTGAGCCCAATATGTGGATTCAAAGCATCCTTCTACCACTCACCTTTGTATGTTCACTCTCTTCCTCACTAGTCATTTCTTTCAGCCTGCAGACATACTAATAATGATGCTGCCAGAAATGTCCTCTGAAACTGCCCTTTCTTTTCTGTTTGAGATTACTTGGCATCCTACATTACATATTACATGCATTTTTTCACTGCTTCATTCTCAATTTGTTATTGATGTAATTAAAATTTTTTAAATAAAGTCTTTTTTTTTGTTTTTTTTTTTTGTGGGACCCTCGCCGGCATGGAACGTACCGGCACTGCAGAGGCTGCGGGCAGCCTCGCAGCCCAGCGCTCAACCGCTGCGCCACCAAGGGAGGCCCTAAATAAAGTCTATACTAAGTGTATAACACAATGATTTATTATACCTATATATTGTAAATGATTACTGTAGTGAAGCTTAATTGACAAAGCATCTCTTCCTTGTTATGCGAGCACCTGAAATCTACTCTTTTAGCAAATTTCCAGTATTCAATATATTATTAATTTAGTCATCACTTGGTACATTAGATCTCTAGACTTAGTCATCTCATATTACCGCCATTTGTACTCTCCAATCACATCTTCTCTTCCCCTCACTTCCCTGCCACTGTTCACCACCCTTCTACTCTCTGGTTCTGGTTCTGTGTACTTTTTGGATTCTAAAATGTAAGTGAGATCATGCAGTTGTTTGTTTTTTTTTTAATTATAAATTTTATTTTTGTATTCCCCATACAATTGCGACCCCCTTATTTTGACCCCAATCCCTCCCCTCCCTGCCCCCTACTCCCCCATGCAGTTGTTTTTATTTCTGTACTTGATTTTCTTCCTTAGTATAAGATTCTGTTGGTTTACCCATATGTTGCACATGGAATATTATTATTATTATTTTCCCCTTTTATTATTATTTTCCTTTTTTAAGGGTGAAAAATATTCCATAATTTCTTTATCCATTCATCCCTCACTGGACACTGATGTTGCTTCCACATCTTGACTAGTGTGAATAAATCTACAAGGAACATGGGGATATAGATATCTTTTCAAGGTAGTAATTTCATTTTCTTTGGGGATATACCCAGAAGACAGACTGCTGAATCATGGGGTAGTTTTTATTTTCAGTTTTTTCATTTAAAACATAACCTACTAATATATGGATATCATATACAGAACAGTTTTTGATACTTTTTCAGTTGCTGATCTTTTCAGGTCTTGCTCTACCTAATCTCTTTACCACAACTAATCCATCACCAAGGTACCTGGCTGGGGAGGCAGAAACAGCAACCACTTGCCAAGAATTGAATCCTATCGCTGATATTTTTTAACCATGCAAACTTGGTCAACTTATTGCCTAATAATGATGATAATGCAGAGCTTTAATAGTGGGATTTTTGCTATTTGTGAGAGACTGGAGAGTGAGGTGATTTGGGGGAGGCAGAACATCTTATTTCCCTCACCCCTCATATTTGGATATCATTCCCCCAATAGCCCCCCTCCCCATGCTTGCTCTAGTGGGGTGGGCCTGACCTCAGGTGGAAACAACTTACTCTTTGATTTGTTCAGAGCCTCTTTATAAGAGCCAGAGCCCAACCCTGTGCTAAGTAGGTGTTGAGAGCATATGCACTGACTGACTGATTTGCTAATTGAAATCTCTTAGCTTTATAAAGAAAAAATAACGTGTATTTTATTGTACATTCATGGAAAATACTCAGTAATAGACTTTGTTTCACAAAATATCATTTAAGAAAAATGTATCCCCAAAATATCTTACATAAAACTAATTATTGTTTTAATATTTATGTGAATCTTTCTATCTAAACACACTTGAAAGCATTTTGTAAACAGATTTATTACCTATATAGTGTGTTCAAGTCAATTAAAGTGAAATTCAATTAAAATGCAACCACCTCTGAAGTAGGGCGCAGCAGATGTTAAACAGCTCACAGTGACACCTCACAGCAGTGCAACTTAAGCAGCAGTTGACGAACAAAAATGAAGAATTCCATTTTCTATTTAAGCTACAGGAGCAACAGAGAGAAGCAGAATGTAATTATCCAAATTAGAAATTTCCTATGACACTGAGGTCACCATCTCTGCTATTCACAGAAGGGCCGAGGGATATTTATTGATCACATGCAGCCAAGAACACTGCTTTATGTCTCTGCTGATAGGCAGCCATGTCAGGCACACAGCTTCCAAACACTCCAGTGATGGAAATTTACCGCAAGGCAAGGATATTCTGTAGGACTTCAAAAGGCAGCCCCTCACTCCTTAGTCTCCTGCCTCTGGGCTCAAGACAGTGCTTGACCACAGGACTGTCTACTAAGTCCCACAAGTAGAATATGATGTAAAGAATGCAGCCATGGTGTATCTTTGGGTCAAGTGCCCTCAGGATATTACTGGTATTTGACTTACCCTGAGTCTGGATAGGGAGGAAAGTGTTCTGACCACTTCCTTCTGTGATTTTTATGTTCATTGTTGCTGAAGACTTAGGGATGCAGAGGAGAGTCTTGGGTTTCGTCTACATATGGAGATGTGACTTGGGGAGAGTGACTACACAATATCATAGCTGCCATACAGAAAGATTGGAATATATCTCCCTTCCTTCTAGATGTCAACATGTTCTACATCCGAAAGCTAGCTGGATCATCCTGTATGTACCAGCCATATGCCTATTATATTGCATTTAATTTAAATACTGAATAGAACTGGTGTCCAGACAGAAGTGGAAAAGAATAGCATTTTGACCTTATGTTGAACTGAATGATAATTTGGTTCAATTTTGCCCTAGTCTGAGCAAATTCTAATATTAGAAACAGAAACGTATTAATGGGTTTGACTCTGAGTCAAATTTCTTGATTAAGTAGCTATCATAATGCTGTTATTTAATTCATTCATTTTGATAATGGCCACTTACAAA